TTTCCCTAACACTCAAAATTTCAGGATCCTGGGTGCCTATGCATATGCCCAGCATGTTTTTAGGTCAACCTGGGAATCCAAACCCCAGGTCATCATATGGCTTCCAGCTTTGGAGGGCTAGTGTGTTACCGCTGTGCCACAGCAGCTAGCTGTGCCAGGGTTGGGATTTTACCAGGGGAATACACAAGGGAGAGAGAGGGGGTGGGGGACAAGGGTGAGTGTATGCAAGGATTGGGGTCTCATGATAGCCCATGGCCCTAGGCTGCCTAAGGGGGACGTGAGGACAAGGACAGAGCATGGATACCAAGAGATCAGTGGGCTAGAAGGCCAAGACTGGGGACACTAGAGGAAGGAGGGTAGAAAGGTGGAAACAGGAGCAGAGGGGAGGCACTGGGCATTGAAATGTCCAGTGGGGGTTGGGCAGTGACATGGGAAGGAAGGAATTCTGAAATTGAGCTTTGCAAGGCCTAATGCTGGGAGGATCCCGTATGGAATGTATACCTAAGGAGACTTGTGCTAGGGAGCAGGGGCTGGAAGAAGGGTTATATCATCGTAGCATGAAACCAAGGAAGGAAGAGATGTGGCTTGGAGCTAGAGGAAGCAACAGGAGGTGAGATGGTGTGGCTGATCAGGGCATGTTCGAGTGTTATGGGCGTATTTGCAATCCATGAATGCGTTTGTTGGACTCTGGGAGGTCAGGTGTAGTTCCTTGGCAATCCCAACCACAGGCAAATGTGAGTGGGACCATGTTCCAGGTGCTGGGCCTTTGCTCCGCTGTGCAGCACCAGATGAAGTCAGTGGATGGCTGAGATGTGGTCCCTAATTTCACCAGGAGTTGCTGCAGAGTTTTCTACAAGATACACAAGGTTCTTAGAAGTAGAGAGACAACAGAGTCCAAAGAAGTTCACTCACAGTCTTTAGACAAACGTATTAACTTCTTTTATTCCTGCAGTTGGTTGTTTAGCATTTCAGTATTCAGGAAATGGAAGCTTGTCAGCTGTATGCTTTTTATTTTTAAGATATGGTGACTTGTTTTCTGGAACCAGCATCACTTTCAGAGAAATGTCTAGCATAATTATAGGCACAAAATAAATGTTTGGTGAATTGAATTAATTCTAGTCATTTCCCTGAGGAAGAACTGTAATATGTTTCAATAACTGGATTTTTTTTATGCATCAGAGTTGCTGTGGTCCTCAGACACGGCTGATTAGTTAAGGATTCTGTCCCTTCCTACATGATATTTTTGCACTTACGTAGAAGCATGACCTTGCTGAAAATCAGCCTTTATATCCGTAATCATTATTCTTACTATACACTGTGTGCTTTCCAGAACATTTATACATGTTATTCTATTTGTTGGTAACAACCTTTTCAGATAGCTATTACTGTCTTGTTTTGTGATGACCAAGGCTGAGGCTGAGGCTCACAGTTGGTAATTAACTGAGCAAATACCTGAAGATCCTGGATGACTCTTTATTTTAATTTTTTTGGATTATATAAAATACACCTAATATAAAATTTTCCCCAGGACAATTTTTTTTTTCTTTTGACCATAGGGTATGTGTGCTTGCCGGAGAGAGCGGGACGGAAACAGAGAAAGGGAAAGTGAGAAATCACCTCCCAGGAGTGATGGCCATGCTGTATGCAGTCCTTTCTCTTTCATTTTCCTCTTGGGATTTTGGGCATGCACACACAGGCTCAGTGTAATTTTCAAGCTGCCAGGTCCAGGAACTGAACCTCAGTCAACCATATGGGCGTTCCAGCACCTTAACCACCACACCACCTGTTTGCCAGGATAAATCTTAAGTCTAGTTTTTTCTTTATTTTCTGTCCACAACATTCCTCTATTTTCTCCTTTGCAGTGCATTGGATAAAACTAAACATCTCTTCTGAGAATAACTTGGTTCTTTTTTCTTTGTATTTAGGGCTCAAAATTTGGGCGAAGTATTGGATTTACTCAGACTTCTCAACGCACTTCTGCTCGGAGATCATTTGGAAGATCTAAGAGATTCAGTATTACTCGCTCCCTTGATGATCTTGAGGTAATTTAATTTTAGTTTTTCTTTTCTTCAAGTTTTTGAAAATGAAAATCAAGCTTCCAGATACCTTTAGTTCTTAAACTATGCATAGGATTTCTTCCCTCTCTACCTCTGCAGTGGCCATCATTGTTCAAGGGGGAGATTTCCTGTGTACATTTATATACCTTTTCTACCCCTCGATATATCTCTAATCCATTGAAATGCTTTTTAGTATTCTCTTCTATGTGCCAGACATGGTTGTAAACACTTTCTAGAAATGAACTTGTTTAATCCACATAGAACTCTCTTGAGTTAGGTTCTAGCATTGCCCCCTTTTTGAAGAAATGGTACTGATCCTCAGATACAGATAGAGTATCATCTTGTGTGACTCCTTTCTTTTACATGTATTCCTTTAAAAAATATAGTTTGTTTTAGAGTAGTTTAAGGTTTACAAAAGACTTGAGTAGGAAGTACAGGGAGGTGCCATATCAAAAAACCTTGCATACTTTATTAATAATGTACCAATTATTATCATCTTACATCAGAGTGGTAAATTTGTTACATCAGTGAGCCAATATAAATATGTTATTAACTAACATCTGTAGTTTATATGAGAATTCCCATCTATTGTCCCTTCTCTGGATTTGGACAAATGTACAATGACATGTGTCTGCTATTGTAGTATCAAACAGAGTAGTGTCACTGTCCTCAGACTCTTTGGTGCTCCACCACTGGGAAAACATTAATCTTTTTTAAAAGGAGAATTATTTATTTCATTTTATTATTATTATTTTTAGTTTGACCAGAGTGAGACTGAGAGAGAGAAACAGAACATGAGAAAATTAGTCTCCTGATCTGGGACTTGAACCACAGTCTGCCATGTGGGAATCCAGTGCTGTAACCACCATGTCATTTGCTGTCTATCCACAACATTCCAAGCACTGTTCCTTTTATCATTTCATTTTGTGTGTTTTTAATTTTACATAGATGCAGTTATACTATGTGTTTTGTTCTGCCACTTTAAAGGTATTGCATTATAATTTTTTCCCAATATTTATTTATTTATTTAATTCCATTTGTTGTTATTATTTTTTAATTTGACTAGAGAGAGAGAGAGAGAAAAGGAAAGTGAAAAATCAAGCTGCCAGGTTCAAGACTCAAATTGCAGTCACCCATGTGGGAATCCAGTACCTTTAACCACTGTGCCACCTGCCGGCCCCATTGAATTGTATTTTCAAGATTTACTCATATAATTTTTAGTTCAGTCTTTTTATTTGCTGTTGATGCTATTCCATGACAGTTTTCAATCCATTCTGCTATTGACACTCAGTGAAAAGTTGGACATAGAACTATTCTTTTTTTTTTTTTTCATAGAACTACTCTTAAAGGAACTTCCTAAACATTCTTGTACACATCTTCTTGAACATATTTGCAAGACTGTGCGAGAATATTCCTAGAATTCCAAAGGGTTGGGTGGTGGACACAGCCAAAGGTAGTGGCTGCTCTGATTCATACCCTTTTTTTTAAAAAAAAAAAAAAAAAAAACTATTTAACTTTATTTATTCATTCATTCATTTTTTAATTTGACTAGAGAGATACAGAGAGAGAGAGAGAGAGAGAGAAAGTGAGAGAGCAAGCCACCAGGTCCAGGACTCGAACCATGGTCAGCCATGTGGGAGCACTCAGCGCCTTAACCGCTATGGATAGGAGGCAATTGCAGGGGAAAGGGAGGTCAGGGTACATGATGGATGGAAAGAGGAGTTGACTTTGGACACCTTGCATGCTTGGTTTCGATGTAACAGGGCATGTAGGGCTAGTACAATCCTATTTGGCCAAGCTATTATGGCACAGTACCAGGCTATGCCAAGTTATGGAGCCCATGCACAGCCCTTGTCCCAGCAACATGGCTGCTTTCTTGTTGCCCCACTAGGCCAGGTGGCTGCTGCCAGAGGCTGACCTAGTCTCTCTGATGACTGAGCTGTGTGGTGCCTCTTCTGAAAGGGTATTCTTTGGAGGGTGCAGCAAAGGAGCATCACACAACCTGCTCCCTTCCTTTAGATTCATTTTCTTGCCTTTTTGTGAGACCTTCCTACCCTGCATCTTCCAACTTCCTCCTTCTGGGTCCTTGACTCACCAGCCAGACCATTTTTTTTTTTTTTTTTGGAGAGATTTTCACTGTAGGGCGCGTGCGCTCGCCAGACAGACAGAGAGAGACATAGAGACAGAAAGCGAGAAATCACCCCCCAGGGCGGATGGTCACGCCGCAATCCCTTCTCCTCCATTCTCCTCTCGGGATCTTGGGCACGCACGCACACGCGCCCGGCGTGAGTTTTAAGCCACCGGGTCCGGGACACGAACCGCGGTCGACTACGTGGGAGTCCAGCGACATAGCCATTACGCTAACTGCTGGTTCCCAACCATTTGCCTATGCCCACTAGTCCTTGCATATTTTTTTTTTACCTCGAGTCATTTTTCTTTTCACACAAAGTAGATGACTGGGATGCTCCCTGGAGCCTTGGCCAACTGTCTTTCAAAATGTCCATTTTGGCTTCCATTGCCCTACTGGAGTTGACTCATCTGTAACAATCTCATTCATTTTTTTCTTCTTTGAACTTGGCATGAATATTTACCTGTGTGGCCCTAGATGTGAACTGGGTGCTCTTTGTGCCCTGGTGGTTAACAGGGTGTGAGTCTGGGTCACCTGCTTATGCCGCATACTCCTCCCCCGCCTGCTTGTGTAATTTCTGTTTGATGGTGGATTACGGCTAAGTTTGTCCCACAATAGGACCAATACCAATGAGGGAAAGTTCTGACATCTGGTGACTGAATTTTCCCTGCATATACTCCCATCTACACCAGGGCCCAATAGCACCCCAGGAGCAGGCTTCCAAGTGGTATGTGGTCCCTGTTGCCTTGACCCTGCCTCACTTTAGACCCTAACTTCTGGGCTAAAAGTCTTGTTGGGGCTTGCTGTCAGCCCTGTGGCATTATGTCCATTGCCCGCTGGGTTTCCTTGTTATTGTTGAGTTTAAGGAATTCTTTATATATTCTGGATATTAATCCCTATGTCACATATAATTTGCAAATAATCTCCCCCATTCTGTGGGTTGGGTTTTTATTCATTGATACTATCTTTTGATGCACAAAATTTATAAATTTCCATGAAGTCCAGTTTGTCTTTTTTTTTTTTTCTTTTATTACCCATGTTTTGGGTGTTACATCCAAGAAATCATTGCCAAACCTAGTGTCTTGAAGTTTCTTTTAACCTTACGTGATCATTGATTCATTTTGAGTCCATTTTTGTACATGGCATTAGATAAAGGTCTGATTTGATTCTTTTGCATGTGGATGTCACATTTTCTCAACATCAGCTTGGCACCTTCACCAGAAATCATTTGACCATATATGTGAGGGTTTATTTCTGGACCTTTCATTTTACTCCATTGATCTTATATGTGTATTTTTATGCCAGTACAACACTATTTTCACGACTTAGCTCTGAAGTAAATCCAGGAATCAGGAAATGTGAACCCTCTGCTTTGTTTTTCTTTTTAAAGATTGTTTTGGATACACAAGGTCCCTTGAAAGTCCATACAAATTTTAGGATGGGTTTTTCTGTTTCTGCAAAAATGTTATTGGGATTTTATTTTATGGAGAGATTTCTGCTATAGGGTGTGTGTGCTCGCCAGAGAGACAGAAAGAGACAGAAAGTGAGAAGTTTTCCCCCAGGGGTGATGGCCATGCCTCAATCATTTCTCCATTCTTCCCTTGAATGGTGGGCACACATGCACACGTGCCCGGTGTGAGTTTAAAGCCACCATGTCTGGAACTCAAACTGCAGTTGACCATGTTGGAGTCCAGCCACATAACTGCTACACCATCTGTTAGTCCCTATCATTGGATTTTACTATGGATTGTATTGAATCTGCTTTCAGTGATATTGACAGCTTAACAATATCAAGCCTTTAAAATTTTTTTGATTTATTGTTATTGTTATTTTTAAAATTTGACCAGAGAGAGACAGAGAGCGAGCAAGAAGGAAAGTGAGAAAGCAAGCTACCAGGTCTGGGACACAAACTGTGGTCGGCCATGTGGGAGTCCAGTACCCTAACCACCACATCACTTGCCAGCCCCAAATATTAAGTCTTTTAATCCATGTGCATGGATATATTTCCATTTACTTAAGTCTTCTTAATTTCTTTCAGCACCATTTGTAGTTTTTTTGTAGAAGTCTTTGACATCATTGTTTAAGTAAATTTCTAAATATTTATTCTTCCTTATACTATTATAAATGGAATTTGTGTTGTAATTTCCTTTTCTGATTGTTCATTGTTAGTGTAAAGAAATGCAAGTGATTTTTATGTGTTGACTTTGTATCCTGCTACTTTACTGAATTCACTTATTAGCTCTAGCAGTATTTTTTGTTTTGGATTTTTATTCATATAATTTTTAAAAACTCCTTTTATTAATTTATTTTAAAAATAAGCTCATTTATTTATTTCTTCCATGACACACACACACACACACACACACACACACACACACAAACACACGCAGAGGCATCTACTTTCAACTTGGTCTTTACACTGTGATTCACTCCAGCTTCAGCCAACCTGGATCACAGGCATATGCACACACCCAGCATGCTCATGGAGTTTCCAGAACATGTACTCAGGATCATCTCCATATGGGCCTAGCTGTGTCACTACTGTGCTACCAACTGGCCTGGCTCCAAAATCTTTAGGATTTTCTGCATATAAGATCTTACCAGGGACCAGCAGATGGCATAGTGGTTATGTCGTTGGACTCCCACATGGCTGATCACTTTTCGAGTCCTGGACCTGGCGGTTTGAAGCTCAATGCTGGGTCCGTGTGCATGTGTGCCCAAAATCCCAGGAAGAGAATGGAAGAGAAGGGATTGTGGCATGGCTGTCCCTCTAGGGGGTGATTTCTCACTTTCCCTCTCACTCCCCTCTGCCGCCCTGCCACCCCCAGCATATGCACCCTAAGGCAAAAATCTCCTT